GGAGGCGTGGTCAACTAAAAAACATCACTCAGTCCAAGGGCAGATAGGCTGTGTTAACCCAGCATTGGACTCTCCGAGCAGTGCACTGGAGAACAGTAACAATTTATTAACACTGTAGAATTAAGGCTGAGAAAGGAAATTGTAAGAATTAAGCATTATTTCTAAAAGCAGTAATTAGAAATATTAATCTTTCACCAGTTCAAATATACAGGTGTGGCATTGTTTATTCATGGGATTCTATTTCAACTGAACCATGAATAAGCCTGTGAAAAAGCATAATGTGCTTATGTGAAAAAGCTTGTCAGTCATTTTGTGCACGCATTAAGATACATAATGGACACTCTAGAAGAGATCTACATGACAAATACTAAATACACAAAATGTTTTATCCCATACAAAAAGTTCTGCCCTGCATTTTCCAGGAAGACATCCTTTCTCTTCTCTTCATAGCTATTGACTATTGGTAAAGTTATAATTGCAAATTGGTCAAATTAGCAAGCTTCAAATTCTGCAGATTGATAACCATTTTGCAACACTTTCTAATTGAACTGTGTTATGAATAATACAAGAATACAGGAAACATTTTATAATAGGGTTATCATATTCTAGTTAACTTGATATTTTTAACAAAATAATTTCAAAAGTTTTAGTTGGAATTAGGTTTTCTCCAACGGTAAAGAAATATGCTGCAACCCTTAGAATATTGTTATTGCTTTATATTTTCAATATAAAAAGACTCAGACAAATTATTACAATACAGCTACACCATAACCAGAGTTATGTAATAGCATATGGTATAGAGCAGATTGATTTTGAACAATTTTCTTCATAAAACTAGTATGCATTTTCTCATGTGTTATACAGAAAAGAGACATTTCCAATATACTACCAATGAAACCATCCCCAAATGTTCTATTAAATTATCAGAATAATTACTAGTAATCAATTAAACTAATACATTTAACATTCAAGACTTAAGATTGAAATGTGACCCTGAAATCACCAGATGGATATTTATATGGTTCATTAACTGGTTAATGAACAGGTGACAAAACAAAGTAGAAATGCATAATAGAGAATGAAACAATTCTTCAACCATATTTGGATTCCTTTATGTAAATAATGTTACCAACAATTATCCTTGCTGAATTTATGAGCAAATATGTTTCTAATTTAGGAACTGGCAAACTCCAGAATAAATGCTAAGGCCCTTAAATAAAGCAATTTTTAAATCACCAGTATTTGTGAGATATTGCAGATTTTTTAAAATGCCTGCACCAGTGTGTCGCATTGTATGGTGTTCCAGGAACAGAAACAGAAAAGATGACCAAACACTGGGCTAGACAGTGAAAAATTCAGGGGGTAGTAAAGTATCAATGTTTGAAGAAGACTAAAAAGAAATGAATGTGCAAGCAGACTGTTTACTGCTCTTAAGAGGGTAGATGAATTGGAAATGGAAAACAATGTTAATATATGGATTGGGGAAGGAGGAAAATAATGCTTAACAATGAAGACTGATAGTTGTGAATCCTGTAGAATTATGTTGTGACATGATGTTCTACTTCATTCTAGTTTTTCTAGCATATTACATTAACAACTGAATCTTTCCTCTTGATGCTAATTATAAAACAAAAATAAAAGGGTCATAGAAAATTGTTTTACAAACTTCAAAGGCAACAGATTTAGGAGAAATTATTGCTTACATATTCCAATTATAACTTTCAATTACAATCAGTGGACTGAATAAGATTTGAATATTGGAATAGTTTTTATCCACCCACAATGAAAATTTCTCACCTCTGGTAACATCAGAGCATCTTGTCTGAGATCCTTACGAGTGTGTGACAAAATAAGAGCCAAGACTTCTACTGTTTTTCCAAGGCCCATCTCATCTGCTAATATTCCTCCAGGCCAACAAGGCCCAGCAACAGGTCGATCACGGATTACACTGAAAATAAAATAAATATAGATTTTTGTTACAAATTCAACCGACCTACTGAATTCAACATTTAGAATTCTAAATACATCATCAGTTACACTCAATTATTTCAATGTTCTGCTTTTGGACATAACATTAAAGCAATCTATTCTTACCAGCCAGTAAAAGGATTATAATAGAGCTTCAGCCCATCTAGAGTAATACATTCTCTCCATAAGTAGTGGAGGGCATTATCTGATGAAAAAAAAGAACAAGGCAATGAGATTCATTGAACTTCATATCTCCTTAAACTTGAAGGTGCAAACTGAAGTTCTGAGGAAGGACATTCCTCATTATATAGCAATAGCAATAGCAATAGCAATAGCAGTAGACTTATATACCGCTTCATAGGGCTTTCAGCCCTCTCTAAGCGGTTTACAGAGAGTCANAACTGCAGTCAGCTGAAGTAGCCTGCAGTGCTGCATTTAACCACTGCGCCACCTCGGCTCTAATCACTGCGCCACCTCGGCTTTAATTAATGATTTGCATTTCATTTTCCATGAGATAATAATTGCTATAAGTGGTATTTAAACTAGCAGAGTAGGAAAAATAAATAAGCTGTTTCACAGTTTCAATGAAATGCAGTAATGGTATTGAGGGAGTTAAACTGAAATTAAAGAAAATGTTAGAAAAGCTAATAATTAACTTATAAAATGTGGTTTGTTCACTTTCTAACTTTTTTAAAAAATAATAAAATTTGCTAAATTTAAAAAATGTTAATGATTTTGTAAAAGAATTGTTTATAACAATATGGCTATATCAAAAGCATTTCCTTTTTAATTAGTTAGTAACTTATATTATATACACACAAACACACATTAATTTACTTAGTAAAGATTTCAGTTAAAGTTAAAAGCCAATTTACAGGTAAAGAATTCCTCAAGCTTAAAGAAATAGGCAAGTTATAAGTCTGTATAATAAGTTATAGTTCCTCTACAGGAAGGAAATTTTATTAGCACATGCCAACAGAAAATTTAAAGCATATGAAAACTGTATTCTCTAAGATATGCTGGGGCAAATCTTATTATTATTTTAGGTGTCATAATTAACATTTTATTCAGAGATGCTAGTTAATAGATCCTGCAAAAGAATAAAATCTAGTAAAATCTATTATGTATATAGAATAAATTGAACTGAAGAAAAGATTCCTGTCTTTGATACTAACATATTTTCCATGTACATATAAAACACATTAGTCACAATATTCTATTCAAGCACCTTTCTACATATTCTTACTTTCAAATATATTCAGCAGTAGATATATTCTATTAATTATATAAATTTACTACCTTTACAGAACGAGTATCTCCAGAACTTTGATACAGTACAATTATTTTTTTCTTCTGCAGCCACATTAAATTTTCCATAATTTCATTATTTAAAGATGATTCAACTAAAACATCTAGTTCGTAAATACTCGGTAATGATTCTTCCCCTTTGTCCACTTTTATAATATCATTTTCATGGACAAGAAGATGCAGATGATCACTAAATTCTGCTGTCATCAAGGTCAACCCTTTTTTCTGGATATTGCCATTTAAATGTTGTTCAGGAAGAAGCTGGAGTGTAAATTCTCCAAGCAAAGTTTTCCAGGGAGAATCAGGCTGATAAGGAAGTATCAAGATATTTAGCTGTATTGCTATAGATAGCAATGGATGACAAGAATCTTCTACTTCATCTAAGACTGTTGAGAAATTTGGGGATTTGGTGTTCTTTTCTCTGTGAGTCAAGTCTTCATCCACACTATCATCATTTATCACAATATGTACAGCAGAAGTTGAACTTGTACCAGCAACAGGATGGTCTTCATCCATGACATCTACATCTATCATGTCATTTTTTTGGTCATCATGCATATTCCAGCAGAGTTGCTTCTTTTTTTCTTCATTCATCCTCATGGGAGGAGCACACTTTCGACGGCGACTCATTTTGATAGTTCACCACTGCTAAAAGCTGTAACATAGATAAATGCCAGTCAACTTAGGAATGGAGCATTATATTTTGATTTAAAAAGAATCTGGAACATTGGCCAAAGATTTATTTTAGACATATCTTCTAGTAATAAACCTTGCCCCCCCCCCCCTCCAGACTTGTTCACTTTGGGGTTCAGCATCAGAACTTTTGGTCTGTGAAAAAGCTAGTCTTTTCATGGAATTCAGAGAAATTGCTTTTAAAAGCACATCTCATTTGTTATTTTACTTTCAGAAGTATATCAGAATGAATACATCTTATGGTCTCTAGGATACTGTTCCAGAAAACATAGAAATGCATTATCCAAGGCAATACATTAAAAATCTTTGTATTACATGTGCTTATTGGCATTTATCTTTTCCAGACACATCTTAACAGTACTATTTGTGTGTCTGTGTGTCTGTGTGTGTTTGAGAGGGAAAGGGGGGGGGGGGAGAATGTGAAGTAGTAAGAAAACATGGCCAAGAATTTGAAATAATATTAAAATCTAGTCAATTCTTCTGCCTTTGCTTTTACTGGATCAGAAAAACACTAACTTTTGTCACTCTTAGACATAATTACCATTTAATGCTTTTTGAGACTAAATGTTTAAGGGGTCATGTTTAAGGGATCACAGAATGGTGGTGTTCCAATTCTTTCTTATATTTTCTCAGTCGTTTATGTAATATCATTTATAAAATTAAAAAGTTGCTTCCTAAAGGTGAGGGAATAATTGCAGAATGTACAAATTGCTAGAGCCTCCAATCCTTGCTAACTTTTAAAGCTTTTCGGCATATTTTCACTCCAATTCTCATTCTGTCTTTACAACTTACTGATCTTATTTATTTATTTATAGGCTTAATGGGCTATCCATTCACTAGATAACTAAAAGTCACTTGGTTTCACTTTTTTTAAGGCATGCTGATGAGACACAATATGGCCTCAAACAACTGAGGTAATATATCTGCTTTGCATCGGCAATCTTGAAAAGTTTTTCATTCTGATTTGTCTTTTCTGTGCAGTAGACTGCTACCGAAAACCCCAAAAAGAGTAGGCTGAAGAGGCAAAGTTGCTTTTTCAAGAGGCAACTGGACTTTCTGGCTTTTCTTTGATGACATTTGCTTCTCATAAAAGGAGCTTCTTCAGCTCTGATGGTGGGGAATGGAAGGACTTATACTCCTTGCAGACAGCTGGTCATGTGACTTCTTTTAGTGAAAGCAACAGGATGCATTCTTTTTTCATTAAAAAATGCAAATGACCACAGACGACAGAGAATGAGGTGGCTGGATGGAGTCACCGAAGCAGTAGGCATGAGCTTAAATGGACTCCAGAGGATGGTATAGCACAGGAAGGCCTGGAGGAACGTTGTCCATGGGGTCGCGATGGGTCGGACACGACTTCGCAACTAACAACAACAAAGTAACAAGCTGTTTTAAAGTGTAACTATAAGTAGATGTTTCCATCACATCCAAAGGGAGGGGCGAGAATACAACACGTTTATTTCAAGTCAACTTCCTAGGGCCCCGTGAGGCAGAGGCGGCTGTCCTTTCACTGCACTGCAGGAATGCAAAGAAGGCTGGTGCCGGGTGTACACAACGAAGAACCTAAGAGATTATCTCCTCTTTCCGCAGACACCGAGAGGCAGGCGGTCAGGGAAAAACCGCCGGGAGATACGGAGACAACAGAAGACGGGGAGGGGGGGGGGATACAAAGGCTTCGGGGCCGCCGCTGCTAGTGGGTGGAAGCACCGGAAAGAGACGAAATGAAGCCGCCGAGAGATGCTCCTCGGACCAACGTACCTGTCAGTTCAAGTAGCTTGCACTACCTTCTGGATGTCCCTTCAGGAAACCGCGCCTCTGGCCGTCGTAACCGACCAACCGCCTCCGAACGGACCACCGCGGAAGGACGGGGGGAGGAGGCGTACCAGCGAACGTCCCCTTCTCCCTCCCCCTCCCCAGGCGAAACCAAAGCCGGCAGGTATATGCCAACCGATAGGCTGCAAAGGCCCAGGCAGGCTCCGCCCTCGCCGGCTGGCGCGCGGGCGCCGGAGATGTGACGCCGTAGCGTCCTGAGTCGTGCGTGCCCGCGCGCGTTCGGCCGTCCGGGAGAATGTCGGTTTGATTTGGGGAGGACGAGAGGGGAAGGGGTGGCGAGCTGCTGCAGCGCCTCCTCTCGGTTGGTTCTGCGGTAGAAGGTTTGAAATTTAGCGCGAGCTAAAAGACGGAGGGATGTCCGGGAAGAAGTCGCTTCTTCCAATGCGATTGTGCCCCGTGTGTGCTTTTTAGGGGCTGAAATATACTAAAATAGCTGTAGGCTTGGCAGATCTCGAAAAAGCTATAAACGTGGTCGGACTTGTTTAATATTTGAATGAGAGGCTGTGGGAAAATCCAGGAGGAGAAATAAACAGATAAATCAATTTATTCGTACCCATTTACTGTGTTTATATTTATGTTTATACTTATACCTGTTATTTTTTTACATGTTTGACAAAATAAATAAACTTAATTGCCCAAAAAAACCCCGCGCGAACATAAATTAAACAAGTTCGATTAGAACAATATTTCTCAGCCTCAATAACTTAAAAGGTGTTGGATATTGATAGTGTGGTTAATTGTTGGTTGGAGAATTCTGGGAGTTGAAGTACCGATATCTTAAAAGTGTTTGAGATTGAAAAACACTGGACTAAAGTAACTTCATCCTCTGTGGACCATCTGAATGATCTTTGCATTTACATTCGTGCATTATTCCTATCCTGCCAATTCTTTCCTTGCAAACTCAAACTTTCCACATAACCAGATTTTTTTTCCTTACAAAAATCTTAGGATGAGAAACCCCAAAGACAAAATNGCTGAGTCAACCCTGAGCCGGTGAGATTTGAACCGCTGAACTGCTGATCTAGCAGTAGCCTGCAGTGCTGCATTTAACCACTGCGCCACCTATGCAATCATTTTAACTAAATTAGTACTTGATGTAAAAATACAGGTAGTCATCACTTACTGACCGAAGCTAAGACCGACAACTCTGTGGCTAAGCAAAACGTTGTAAAGTGAAACCATACCAACATATGAGATCAGTTCCAGCTGTGATCAAGTGATTCACCAGTGGATGTTACGCACAATGGCTCATGACTGCAACTTGCAACTTTGTGCTAACTGCAATCCTTCCCCACAATATAAAAGCACTCCATAAAATCTCTTCTTACAATGTTTGTGTTTCTAAAACTGTTTGGAATCTCTCTGAGTGGCTATTCTTAACTAGAGGACTCCATGGATTATTAAGGGGGTGTCATTTTTTAAAGAAACAAATGCTAGATTAGAATGTCACTATTGATACGTTTAAGGACTGCTTATTTAATATACAACAGTTTATATGTTGACCTTTCTATTGATCTACTATGTAAACTGACCATTGTATTTGCTAATATTTTTTTAGCCAAAAAAAGGATCTAACAAACTCCTCATAGTACATGATCATGTATTCTACTATTAACATGTTCAATATATATGTATACATCTTGCTATATTGAGATACTTACCATTGGTAGGTATATTTCTAAAGTTCTCACGTTGCAGCATCCAATTTACAGCCTCACTTTGATATGGCCTGAGAACAGGAATCAATGCAGAATGTTGTACATTTTCCTTTAAAAAATGTAACTCTTTTTGGTGTACATGCCTCACATAATCATACAGCTCTTCAATATTTTGCCGTTCTATATCTCTATCAGATTCCTCATCTTCTTCCAGAATGTCTAAAAAATGTGCAATGTTATTGGCTATTAGTAACATTATAAATATTTTAAGTACATAAGAAATAAAAAGATGAAAAAATATCTGCATATTAAAAACATAATAATTGAGTGCAACAATGCTTTCAGGCTTTCAAGGAGGGATAAGAAAACAACACCTCAAAATACAAATATATGAACAAATGTCTGATGAAACAATGATGTTGTGAATTGACTACAAAAAATATATGGTGGTATTTAAGTTTGTGAACCTATTTGAATATTGAATTTTCAATATTTCTCTATAAATATGACTTAAAACAGTGTCTGTTTTCCCTACAAATCCTAAAACTAGATAAAGAGAACGAAGTGTGTCTGTGAATGCATTTGGCAGCATCTTGACTGAAATGTTAATGAGATGAAAACAAATTGAAAGTGGTAGTATGGTTTTTTGCTGGGCAGAAGACGCAGACCAGATTCTTGTTCTGCTATTCACTGAGAAAGTTAATTTATTGAACTTGTATTGATTTTTAAAAAATGTACAATAAAGTGAATAGCCTTGAATTAGAGAATCTTTGTTTGAATATAGAGTTGAAGGTTGATTGCTGAATTGGATTTATTTAGATTTGGAAGACTACCTGACTCCCAAATAATTCTGGGCAACTCACATTGTTAAAAAAAAAAGGAGGGGGAGAGAACAATTGGTTCCACCACAAAATCGTGGAGGACAAAATCGCGCTCGACGAAAGCGCGCATGTGATGTCATCACAGCGCGATGAAAAAAATTAAAAATTGAAATAAAATTAAAATTAAAGCAAGC